AATTTTGCTGTTTTTAAATGCTCTTTCCTTGCCTGACAGGTAGGGGCAACTTATGCATCAGATAAGAGTGAAGAAGACAATGAAATTGAGAGTGAAGAGGAAGTACCACCTAAGGTGCAAGGATCTAGGCGAAGTAGCCGCCAAATTAAAAAACGAAGAGTCATATCAGACTCTGAGAGTGACATCGGTGGCTCTGATGTGGAATTCAAGCCAGATACTAAGGAAGAAGGAAGCAGTGATGAAATAAGCAGTGGACTGGGGGATAGTGACAGCGAAAGCCTGCACAGCTCTGTCAAAGTTGCTCCGAAGCGGAAGAGAATAGTGACTGGAAATGGTCCTCTCAAAAGGAAAAGTTCAAGGAAGGAAACGCCCCCAGTCACCAAACGAGCAACCAGCATTTCATCTGAAACCAAGAGTGCTTTGTGTGCTTTCTCTGCCCCTCAAAATTCTGAATCCCAAGCCCACTTTAGCGGAGGCTGTGATGATAGTAGTCGCCCCACTGTCTGGTATCACGAAACTTTAGAATGGCTTAAGGAGGAAAAGAGAAGAGATGTGCACAGGAGGCGACCCGATCATCCCGATTTTGATGCATCTACACTCTATGTGCCTGAGGATTTCCTTAATTCCTGTACTCCTGGGATGAGGAAGTGGTGGCAGATTAAGTCTCAGAACTTTGACCTTGTCATATTTTATAAGGTGGGGAAGTTTTATGAGCTGTACCACATGGATGCTCTTATTGGAGTCAGTGAATTAGGGCTGGTATTCATGAAAGGCAACTGGGCCCATTCTGGTTTCCCTGAAATTGCATTTGGTCGATACTCAGATTCTCTGGTCCAGAAGGGCTACAAAGTAGCACGAGTGGAACAGACTGAGACCCCAGAAATGATGGAGGCAAGATGTCGAAAGATGGCACATATATCTAAGCATGATAAAGTGGTGAGGAGGGAAATTTGTAGGGTCATTACTAAGGGTACACAGACATACAGTGTGCTGGAAGGTGACCCCTCTGAGAACTACAGCAAATATCTTCTTAGCCTCAAAGAAAAAGAGGATGATAATTCTGGCCACACTCGAGTGTATGGTATATGCTTTGTTGATGCCTCGCTGGGAAAGTTTTTCATAGGTCAGTTTTCAGATGATCGCCATTGTTCCAGGTTTAGGACTTTAGTGGCACATTACCCTCCAGTACAAGTCTTGTTTGAGAAAGGAAATCTCTCAACAGAAACTAAGATGATTTTGAAGGGTTCATTATCCTCTTCTCTTCAGGAAGCTCTGATACCAGGCTCCCAGTTTTGGGATGCAGCCAAAACTTTAAGAACTCTCCTTGAAGAAGGATATTTTACAGAAAAGTTAAATGAGGACAGTGGGGTAATGTTACCCCAGGTGCTTAAGGGTATGACTTCAGAGTCTGATTCTATTGGGTTGACACCAGGAGAGAAGAGTGAATTGGCCCTCTCTGCTCTAGGTGGTTGTGTCTTCTACCTCAAAAAATGCCTTATCGATCAGGAACTTTTATCAATGGCTAATTTTGAAGAATATATTCCCTTGGATTCAGACATGGTCAATGCTACAAGACCTGGTGCTGTTTTTTCTAAAGCCAGTCAACGAATGGTGCTAGATTCTGTGACATTAAACAACTTGGAGATTTTTCTGAATGGAACAAACGGTTCTACCGAAGGTACTCTGCTAGAGAAGATTGATACCTGCCATACTCCTTTTGGTAAGCGACTCCTAAAGCAATGGCTGTGTGCCCCACTGTGTAACCCTTTTGCTATCAACGATCGCCTGGATGCTATTGAAGATCTAATGGTTGTGCCTGACAAAATCCCTGAGCTTGCAGACCTTCTAAAGAAGCTTCCAGACCTTGAGAGACTACTGAGTAAAATTCATAATGTTGGCTCTCCCTTGAAGAGCCAGAACCATCCAGATAGCAGGGCTATAATGTATGAAGAAACTACATACAGCAAAAAAAAGATTATTGATTTTCTTTCTGCTCTGGAAGGATTCAAAGTAATGTGTAAAATTATAGGGATTATGGAAGAAGTCATTGATGACTTTAAGTCTAAAATCCTTAAGCAGGTCATTACTCTCCAGACGAAAAATCCTGAAGGCCGTTTTCCAGATTTAACTGTAGAACTGAATCGATGGGATACAGCCTTTGACCATGAAAAAGCTCGAAAGACTGGACTGATTACTCCCAAAGCAGGATTTGACTCTGATTATGACCAAGCTCTTGCTGACATAAAAGAAAATGAGCAGAGCCTCTTGGAATACTTAGAGAAACAGCGCAGTCGAATTGGCTGTAGGACAATAGTCTACTGGGGAATTGGCAGGAACCGTTACCAGTTGGAAATTCCAGAGAATTTTATCACCCATAATTTGCCAGAAGAATATGAATTGAAGTCCACCAAGAAGGGCTGTAAACGATACTGGACCAAAACTATTGAGAAGAAGCTGGCTAACCTAATAAATGCTGAAGAAAGGAGAGATGTGTCACTGAAGGATTGCATGCGGCGACTATTCTATAACTTTGATAAAAATTACAAGAACTGGCAGGCTGCTGTAGAGTGCATTGCGGTGTTGGGTAAGATGTTCAACAAGCTTGCTCCTAAGGCTTTGATTATCCAGTGGTGAATATCCCTTAACACAAGTAACAAGGTTAATGTGCATTTTGAGAAGTATGAAATAAACTTGCCTCCTCATGAGGCAAAGTGACTAGATAACCCATAGTCATGTAAGTCATTCACTGGAAACTTCACTGTTAGTAAGTAGCCTTCTGGCCTTCCTTCAGCCTTTTAAATAAGACAATTTCCAAATGAATTTTAAGTATTTGAAGAATACTGTTTTTTTATCTCCCGTTTTTTTGTTAACACGAAATTAAAACTATCCCTCGATCCATTACTTGAGGTTTTTGCATAACCTCTGCATTTTTTATATTTTAGTGAATCTTTATATGCCTGTTTCAAGAGATTTTTTAAAAAGATTTTATTTATTTATCTATAGAAGGGAAGGGAAGAGAAGGAGAGAGGGAGAGAAATACCATTGTATGGTTGCCTCTCGTACATTCCCTGCTGGGAACTGGCCTGCAACCCAGGCATGTGCCCCGACTGGGAATAGAACCTTGATCCTTTTATTCGCAGGCCCACGCTCAATCCACTGAGCTACACCAGTCAGGGCTATTTCAAGAGATTTTAAAGTTTCCCTTTCTCTCTAAGTCCAAATTATCACTTCATCCCTGTAATTGATTTCTAAGAGTCCTAATTTATGTATTTGTAATTTATAACCTTTTCAGCTTCATTAATTTTTCTTTATATTTCAAGGCTAACTTTTTGAAGCCTTTACTGTTTTACAGCTTAGAGTTTTTGTTTTTTTTTAATATAGCCTCAGTTCACCAAATATTTGTAACCTAAATTATGCTACCCAAATTTGAAATATCATTTTGGTCTGAATCTCAACTGTCCAGAAAAGCATCTTTATGTATTATGAATGCCACATTTTTTCCTTAAGCCAGTATAGCAAACAGTTTAGTGGGTATATTAAAATCCTCCCTCAGCAGTGTTCAAAATTGGTGAGTTTATTTTCCTCTTAAGATTTGTGTCTACTGTCAGAATGTTCTGCTTCTCCCAGGAAGTGTTAGCTTCAAAATTATGTTCTATAATTAAACCACATATAACACTTAAGCTAATGACTCATTTACAGTTAATGAAAGCACTGTATTGTGTAATTAATGATAATATCACTAATTAAAATGCCTACTGTATCTGTCAAAAAAGGAATTAAAACAGACCACCTCCACTGAGAAAGCATTTTTGAAAAAGATTTTATAGAAGTTGGATCTTTGAGATTATCAAGAAACTTCAAGAATGATGAACCCTCACTTTTCCTCCCTTCAACAGATGTCTTATTGTGCTTGGCTAACTACAGTCGAGGGGGTGATGGTCCTATGTGTCGTCCAGTAATTCTGTTACCAAAAGAAGATGCTCCTGTCTTCTTAGACCTTAAAGGATCACGCCATCCCTGCATCACAAAGACTTTTTTTGGAGCAGAGTTTATTCCCAATGACATTGTAATAGGCTGTGAGGAGGAAGAGGAGGGAAATGGCAAAGCTTATTGTGTACTTGTTACTGGACCTAACATGGGGGGCAAGTCTACACTTATGAGACAGGTAAACTATTAAGGTTTTGTTACAGAAAGTCATTTGTAACAGTTTAAGAGTGAATGTTTTATGCATTTAGACCACCCTTTTCCAAAAAGCACATGAATTACACAGAATTCAGTCAATGACTTAAGGAATGAAAGGGAACTCTTATGTTTATAAAATTGTTAATTGTATTTTTCTAATCAGTCGAGTATCGGGTGTTGGGGAGGAACATATTAAAAAGGCAAGGGAGGTTTCAGGTCATGATTTTATTTTTTTAAGGTTTTACTTATTTTTAGAGAGGGGAAAGAAGAAAAACATCCACATGTGGTTGCCTCTTGCATGCCCCCTATTGGGGACCTGGCCTGCAACCCAGGCATGTGCCATGACTGGGAATCAACTGGTGGCCTTTGGGTTTGCAGGCTGGGACGCAGTCCACTGAGCCACACCTGCCAGGGCTCATGATTTCTTTATAAGTTTTTTTACTTCATTCCCTCTGAAGGTAGATATATTCATAAGAAGTAATGCAGATGTTGCTGGTTGTCTTTGGATTAGACTCATTTGTAGGAACCTCTTACAAAAGAGCTATGGCAGAGTTAAGCATCTAGAAAAGCAACATTCATGACCTTTAGTAACCACTGGCAACTGCTTTTAGGGAAGACAATAAATGTATTTTGTCTTCTTTATGCCAGATACATGGGTTGTAGGTAAAAAAGGCCAATCATGTGAGAAAGACATTGAGACCTTGACAGAAATGTTCGCTGACTCTCTGTAGCACTTCTGTACTATATTGTACTTAAGTTTACCAGGCTTGCTAACTAGAGCGAGGCAGCATAATGCAGTATCGTGGTTCTCAACTTATAAAAATGTGGAATGGTTCATGAATTTGCACATCATCCTTGTGCAAGGGCCATGCTAAGCTTCTCTGTATTGTCCCAATGTTAGTATCTGTGTTGTTAAAGCCAGTACCTTTGTTTTTAATAACAAATAAAATTGCCTATAGAGCTTGACAAAAATGTACGGGGAAAACATCATTCTCTGAAATGAATCCATTTGGACTGGAATTGGTTCTAGGCACCCCAAATGATTTTACTATATAGCCAGAGTTGAGAATGAGTAGTGTAGTTGGGTTAGTATAGAAGCTGAGATTTTAAAATAAGTTAGGGCCTAAGCCATTTGCCTTCTCAGTGTCACTTTTCCGACTTCTGATGTAGGATTGTGAAGTTTTTTTAAAGTGTCTGATTTTACCTATATAATGGTTCTGAAGAAAGGTTAATGTTTAGCTTAGGTTATTGTGTGTCTTTTGTATATCTATGTATATATGATATTCTTTAACACCAGTCATAAAAGACTATTTCCTCCCTTATTCACACAGGCCGGTCTATTAGCTGTATTGGCCCAGATGGGTTGTTATGTACCTGCAGAAGTGTGCAGGCTCACACCAATTGATAGAATATTTACTAGACTTGGTGCCTCAGACCGAATAATGTCAGGTGAGCTTTTTTTTTTTCCTTCCCCCCTGCATTAGGCTTTATTTGATTTTTCTTTCTTTGTTGATGTGAAATATGAAGCAAAATGCTCTCAGGAATTTGAAAACACAAATTCTTAAAATACTGTAAATAATCTCTTTAATGACATTTAACCGTTTGTACAACTGGGCAACTCATGATAAATGCAAATAGTAGGAACCTATAAGATGAACTTACTGTTGTAATAAGATTCTTTGAATGATCGCCCATTTGTGATTTTTTTTTTTAAAGGTGAAAGTACATTTTTTGTTGAATTGAGTGAAACTGCCAGTATACTTACACATGCAACAGCACATTCTCTGGTGCTTGTGGATGAATTAGGTAAGAAGTAAAACTTCCATTTGAAGGCCATCTTTAAACAAATTCTTAAAAAAAATATGAATGGACTCAACTTTGTGCCATAGACCCAGAGTTGGAGATAATGTGAAAAGTTTTTGATTACTAAATTACTTAATCCTATTCAAATTTGGTTGCTATAATATGGGAATAATGAGAGTACTAAGAATAGGAAGTTCTGAAGATCAGGGATACTTGAGAGGTCTAGTCTTAAAAAGAAATATACCCCAAGGACAAAGCAGACCTATTTGACTAAACAGCCTAATTTTTATCACGAGGACACGCCCATTGATTTTAGAGAAGGGGGAAAAGGAGGGAAAGGACAGGAAATATTAGATCAGTTGTATACTGACCAGGGACTCCAGAGACCGAACCTACAAACTATATGTATCCCCACCAGGAATTGAAACCACAATTGTGGGACAGTGCTCCAACCAACTGGGCCACACTGGCCAGGGCCAGAGTACTTGTAACTGATATTGTACCCTATTTTTTGGGTGAGCTACATCCTTTTTAGGGATATACTAATTTATGCATGTTTTACTTTCACAGGAAGAGGTACTGCAACATTTGATGGGACCGCTATAGCAAGTGCAGTTGTTAAAGAACTTGCCGAGAATATCAAGTGTCGTACATTGTTTTCTACCCACTACCATTCATTAGTTGAAGATTATTCTCAAAACGTTGCAGTGCGCCTAGGCCACATGGTATGTGCAGATTGCTTATTTAGAAGTTGGCTAGGTTTTTGAGATAATCAAGTTGGGTACTTTGTTAGCATATAACTAATGTTTCTCATTTTTAGGCATGCATGGTAGAAAACGAATGTGAAGATCCCAGTCAAGAGACTATTACCTTCCTTTATAAATTCATTAAGGGAGCGTGTCCTAAAAGCTATGGCTTTAATGCAGCAAGGCTTGCTAATCTTCCAGAGGAGGTTATTCAGAAGGGACATAGAAAAGCAAGAGAATTTGAGAAGATAACTAATTCGCTGCGATTATTTCGGTAATTATAATTGGCCATAATTTTGTCATGCAGCTGACCTTATTTAAAACAGTAAAGAGGGATAGACGACACACTTTGAAAAATGTGAACTAAAACTCTTTTTTTTTTTAATTTTAAGGGAAGTTTGCCTGGCTAGTGAAAGGTCGACTGTAGATGCTGAAGCTGTCCATAAGTTGTTGACTATGTTTGAGGAATTATAGACTACGTCGGAAGCCTTGAGTTCACTTTTTTGACAAAGGTGGTAAATTCAGACAACATTATGATCTAATAAACTTTATTTTTTAAAAATGACCATTTTTCCATTTCTTTCTAGGAAATTAAACCCTTTTAATTCTTATCTACCTTCTACATAATGGTTATTGAATACTTCACAATATATTAAGTCTAGATGTTATGGTACATGCATACACTTTCAGGCTGTTTTATACCCACTGTCACCAATACACATAAATGGGGGAGGGAAGCTATGAAACTGTATAGGGCTGTATATATACTTGTCTCAGCTTAATGCAGGAAATTGTTTTAATTTCCAGCAGTTTGTCTAAACTGTTCAAAAAAAAAACTTATGAACAGAGTTCAAATACAGGACTGTTTTGAAGAGACTTTCTAAAGTGTACTTTAAAACATAGTAGTTTTTACCTTTCACAAAACTGAGTTACAAGAATACTTTTGTTTTACAGTGCATCCCTTCCTAGGAAGTCTCATTAAAACACTCACTTTTCTAGGGGTGATTCTGAATGCTGCACAGGGAAGGAAAGGAAATAATAGTCTTAACTTTTCTTAAAGGATACCAGAAACATTGCTGGATATAATTTAAGGTTAGTGTTTTCTCTTTCATAGAAAGAACGTACATCCTGGGACATGAGTACATTACAGCGAGTCTAGGTGTGCTAACAAAACAGGGCACGTTCAAGTACAGTAAGATTCTCTGCTTGAAATAAAAAAAAAAAAAAACTACATGAGATTAAAGCATTAAAATCATATTTCTCAATCTGAATACATGTTAAAAAAATCAAAAGAAATGCAGAAGTGCTAGCTCACATTTTACCATATTACAAAAAGCAATTGGTACCCATGTCCATAAAGGCAGCAACAAAGCTGCTTGTTGTCTATTGAAGAGAGTTCTACTGCAAATTAGACTGCATTCAATGCTAGCTGTAAAAACACCAGCTTTTTTTCAGAAGTTGGTATCTGTACAAAATTGCAGCTTATTTTTTCTTCACTTCTGTCCCTTCAAGTCTTTACACAGTAATGCTAAAACACCCAGCTTTGAGATCCTGAGTCAATATATTGCCACTTTCTTTTTGGTAGCTTCAGCTTCATAGTGTCAACTGACCTCGTGTATCCATTTTTAATACAGTCTCTTCCTGTAGCATGGGCAAATATTTTAAATCTTCTTCCAAAAATGTTTTAAGTTATGTTAGAATGGCAGAACTTTTTCTTTAGGTAAGGAATTCAGTTGTGCTGCAATGTATTAGATTCTATAGGTGGAGCAGAGTCATATAGTGTATCTGTATCATGTGTAGGCTCACCAGCTAATGTACAAGGATTAGACAGTGTTCCAGCACCACAGTCACAGAAAAACCTAAAGCAAAATGAAAACCCAAAAATTAGGAAGGCACGGAATAATTGGGCAATAGAGCAGGTAAGAAATGGAGGGGAGGGGAGTAATTGAGCAAACAAGTGTGCTACATACCTATCATGTCTAATAAATTCTACATCGTGTCCCTGATGGCACTTCTTAATGCAGTTAACACATATGGCATTTCGATCTGTGGTGTTACAAGTGTGACATCTAAAAAGCAAAAGTTTTCATTATTTTTTTTCTTGAACATGTTATTCAAAATAACTATTTTACTATCAAGCACTACTAAAACAATTATGGGAAGAGGAGAGCCAAAACTTAGTAACTGGGATGTATGGGAAAACATCAGTGTCTTGTATTCCCCCCCCCCCCCCGCCCCACATTTATGGTCTCAAACACTCCATGTGGGCAAACTATGTTCTTTCTACTGGCAGATACCCAATTTACTCTGCCCTGGCTTACACATGGAGGGTGGTGAGGGTGGGGTATCTAAAAACACTAGCTCTTGCTAGTATGGGGGTAAAAAAAACCATCTCCCCCCTTTTTCCAGACTCCCAAATAATTTAGAAATATACCTGTAGAAGTCATGCATGGGATAGCTGGTATAGCTTGATATTTTATATAAACATTGACCTCTACTAACAGCCTTTTCTATGGCATCTTGATTGTTCATTATTTTGTTATCTGCAATAAAAAAAAATTCTAGAGGAGAAAGACGTAAGATACAAATAATAGATTATAGGGTTATTCTAACAGAAGAGTCAGGCTAACCAATGAAATAAGTAAGCTAAGAATAGAAATGGGTTTTCCTTTTGTGAGAGGTATTCCAACTAGAACTGAAGTCAACACAAAACTTAAATAATTCTTGAGTTCTTGTTTGGCTTTGTAGAGTGACAGAAGAAATCAAGTTACCTAAAGAGCAGTGACTTTTGATTATTATCTTTTCATAGCATATTTCATGTATTTATAAGGTAGATGCCAACATACCTTTCATTGTCACATTAACACCAGATGCTAAAAATAAGCCTCCAAACCGGTTGTTAAAAATCTGATTGCCTTCTAGTGTTGCAGTCGCATGATTTGTAATTTCAATACCTGAAATAAAATTTAAACAGATGTATCACTTTATAGTTTCTTAAATGAAATCTGAAATATAGTAAGCTAGTTCTTTTATATCAAATGTATATTAACTAGTGAATAAAGTACAAATGTTTATTTGAATGACGGTAACATTCACTTTCCAGTTAATCTTCTATACTGGCATGATATAAGACGGCTCCATAATTTACTACTTTTATAAAATTTCTTTGCAAACTAAGAAGAGGATAGTGCCTAGAAACATGTTTAGGTAACAGCTGGTTTATATATTGAAAAAGAGCTAGATGATTATTATTTGGAATATTAAAAGTAATTGCTATATTAGCAAAAAGGTGAAATATATATGCATGGTACTTAGATTTCACTTATCAAGATTTTTAGAAATGTGTGTGTGAGGCCAGAGGCTTGAATTTATCTGT